ATCTTCTGCCCCGTCGAGATGAAGAAGGCCTTTGACGACTTTTGCCTCGCAAAGACCCTCCTCAACCGCGGCGGTCTCACAACTAGCAACGACGCCGAGGCCGTGGGTCTCAAGGTCGACGGCAAGGGTACCGACGAGGAGGGCAGGACCGAGGGGGAGAGGGCCTTCCTCGGCACGCACGTCACGACGGCTGTGAGACACGGCGATGTGGTGCCGCTGCGACGGCTCAAGGGCATGGACGCCCTCGTGTTCCAGTGCGACCACAACGTCCCCGCCGTGGGCTACGTCTTCCGGACCACGACGCATAAGCTCAAGGCCGAGTATACCTCGCTCCCCGGACCGGAGCTCAAGAGCCTGCGGCAGTCGGGTGTGGAGCTGACGGCACCGGTGACGACGCCCGTGTTTGCGTTTCTTGGTGATACGACGGCGTCGACGCTGGCTGCTGAGCCGGAGTGGTTGGCGCAGGGAATCCCGGTGGTGATTACCGAGTGCAGTTTTCTGTATGATGAGCATGATGCGCAGGCGGAGAAGACGAAGCATACCAAGTGGAAGGATCTCGACAAGGTGGTGCGCAAATGGCCCAAGACGACGTTCATTTTGACGCATTTCAGTATGCGGTATAGTAACAAGGATGTTGTTGCTTTCTTCAATGGGTTGGAGGATCCGCCGAAGAATATTGTCGTTTGGGCTGATGGGCAACCGGAGTAAAGGGTACAGATGGGCTAGAGACAGCATTGATAGAGGGTATTTGTCTAAATCAAGCAAGGGTTGATTGCTTTCTAGATGGATAGACTCAAGAACCCATTAGAGCATTTACAGACCAGCAGTTCTTTAATAGCCACTCTGTCGATTCCGGTCCCTTGGCCAACGCTTATATGATGAGGCACAGACATCCAAACCTCCCGAAACGCTCTTTCAACTAGGCACGAGATCGCATCATCCATCTCAGTCAACTGAACAACACGAGCCTACAATCATTGCACCTTCATCCCAGCAAACACATCACTCGTCATAGCCGTCCACAAATCCATCAAATAATTCTTCCTCGGGGCCCACCGCCCCGACCCAGCCTTGGGAAAGACCTTTGCCGCGTTCCGCACATACGTAGACTTGAGCGGCATCATCGCATTCGGCTTCATATTCGGATCTTCGAGCAGCGGCGTCACCGCCCTCAGCCTCTTCTTCTCCATCCCGCGCCACAATCTCACCAGGAACGAGCTCGTCGCCTCTGCGCCGAGCGTCCACGACGCATTGGCATACCCGAACACGTAGGCCATGTTGGGCATGTCCTGAAGCATACAACCCTTGAAGGCGAACTTCGTGTTGGGGTCCACGCGCCGGCCGTCCACGGACAGGGCTATCGAGCCGGCGAAGCGGATCTTTAGACCTGTCGCTGTGACGATGATATCGGGGTGGAGAACTCGTCCGGACTTTAACACAATGCCGGAGCCCGTCACTTCTTCAATGGTATCCGTTACCACATCCGCCTTACCAGACCTCAGCGCCTGATAAAAATCCGAATTCGGACACACGCAGAGGCGCTGTTCCCAAGGATTATACCGCGGCTTAAAGTGCGGATCGAGCGGGATATTCGGCGGCAACTGCTTCTTCGCCGCGCCCAACAAAAACCGGCGCGCGGAGCCGGGGAACCACTGGCAGTAGTAATACAAGATATACGACAACAGGAAATACTGCACCCGCAGGAGCCGGCTCGAGACGGACTTCGGCAGGATGGAGAGCATGAAGCGCTGCAGACCGGCTTTGCGAGAGGGCATGCCGATGATGTAGGTCGGGCTGCGCTGGAGCATCGTCACGCGCGCGGCGTCGGTGGCGATGTTGGGGAGGAGGGTGACGGCCGTGGCGCCGCTGCCTATGATGACGACGTTTTTGTTGGTGTAGTCTAGGTCCTTGGGCCAGAATTGCGGGTGGACGAGCTGGCCTTGAAAGGTGTCGATGCCGGGGATCGCGGCGGCGAGGGGCTGTTCGTAGTCGTAGTATCCTGTGCCGAGGACGACGAACCGCGCGGCGATGGTCTTTGTCTGTTGCTTTTCGTTTGTCCCGTCGTTAGCTCCTCCCCCTGTGACCGAGGCCTTGAGAATCCATCTGCATGTCGCCGAGTTCCAGTCCGCGGAGGCGACTTGGTGGTTGTACTTTATGTGTCTGTCGATGCCGTGCTCGGAGGCTGATTCTTCGAGGTAGGCGCAGATTTCGGGCCCGCCTGCGAGGGGGTTCTCGCCTTTCCATGGATTCCATGAGAAGCCAAAGGTGTATATGTCCGAATCGGAGCGGATGCCGGGGTACTGAAATAAGTCCCACGTCCCGCCCATCCGTGGACGGCCCTCAAGAATGGCGTAGCTTGCGTTCTTGGGGCCGTGGGATTGGAGGTAGTATGCCGTGTTGATGCCAGAGATACCGGCGCCGATAATGATATAGTCGTAGATCTCGTCTACCTTGAGGTCTGCGGGATGAGTTGACGCCATCGTGATGGTTTTGTTAGTAACATACGCAAGTATACGGTGTGACGAGCAAGAAGGCTTCTATGGGAAGTTGCACATGGGATTTAGCCACCTTTTGTATGATTCATGTGAAGGACTATCTACTACATGAAAAGCATACCCACCTCGCAACATCTAAACCAACCAATGCCCGACCGTGGCGAGGGTCCTGCGCCTAGATTTCCTAATTCAGTGTCACAGAAACGCAGAGTTGCCGAGGCTTGCGAGATGGGATGAAACCTAGAAACCTGCGTCCAATGTGTTTCTCGACTTGTTTTACCAAGCAGCCCGTCGCACGAACGGGAGAACAGAGGGAGCTCGGGGTATCGGCGTGTTCGTTCGGCCTCCGTTCCTCTATGGAAGACCCCGTGTGTGGTGCATACTATGTCAAAGGGCCATGATTCATACATGCAAATAGGAAGTCGATGGTGAGGGGAATAGGCATGGCCAAGGAAAGCACTGCATGAACCCACCTCACACAACTGAGTTGTCAATTATGTGGGTTTAGACCGTCTAGTTGTCATTGTAACTCTACGTGTGACTTCACCTCTCTCTCTCCTACGGGCGTCCGCGGGTGCGGAGAGAATACTAGTGTCTCAAGAACAACCCCATTGCCCCCACGCATTGACCTAGCTTTCCAAGTTGCCTCGGCTGTTGATCTCGCTTTAGACGCGATCATGAGATCGGACGACGATCTCTAGGACGATACGGGGCCCGGAAAACAACACCCCCGGCGGGCGCAATGTGGACGCAGCTTTGCGAATGCGAAAGCCCCATGTCGGTCGGTGCATGTGCGGGGCCTCCGTTGGACTTATAATCTCCCCGATCGGCTCCGGGCCGTAAGAGTGCTCCCCCGTGCGAGTACATACTAAGCTCTTCCCGACCCCGCGTCCCCGCATCTGTACTTGACATCCGTGCATCCGGCAATCGCGTAAGATGGAGGATAGAGCTTGTTATCTCGCATCTGACCCCGTGGGGAAAGCGCATTCGTAGTGAGAAGTATAAAATAGTACAAATGTTTATATCAACTTAGCTGAGTTAGTTTCTTCCCGATTTGAGACCATAGGCCCACGCCTGAACAGCCTTTGACAGACTCCCCAGTTGATGAATTTCCCTGAAAAAAAAGGCTTGAAAAACGCTTTGAGGACGCCAAACTCTCAGTCTTACAGCAAGCCACCTGCCCTACGGGCTTGAATTGAGTGGAAGTCTCGGAGAGCTGAGGTAAATATAGAAGCTACTGGCAAAATCACCATCGAATTTGCGATTAGTCAACATTTCATTTTCAAAGTTCTGCGTCCTGAAGGTAATACTCGATGGGGTCATTTCAAAGAGCGAGGTGTTTGTCATTCTGTTGGCTAGAGTTCGGTCTCCGTTGCCGACATGCTTCTCAAAAACGGATCGCTGATATGTCACTAAGCTTAGACTCAGAGCCCGTGTTTCTAGACCTATAACCGTGACGCAGAAAGCGAGTAAATCACTCAGACATTGCCGAGACACTGCGGAGGATCATTCCACTGGAGACCATCCAACTGGGTTCAATTTTCCGTAGGCTGTCAGCACTCGAAGATTGGCATAGATATATATATGGGTACGTCGATGAGTAGATAGATTCTCTCAAGAGCTGAACGCTTTGCCAGTGACCGAACTAAGAGAGACGGAGTTTCGGGGGATCTTTGACAGAGCCGTCGTCACCTTAGTCGCCTCGGCCCGCTGGAAGGCCCTCGCAGCAATACGACCCCTTTCGCGGCCCATGAGTGGTCAAGCTTGTTTGAATTGCCCACATAGGGTTAGCATGCTTGGTCTTTATAACGTGCAAACACGAGAGCTTGTCATCCTAACTCAAGCTATATAATTGCTCAAGTCCGATCTGTCGCGGCCCTTCATAAGCATACTTATGTAAACAACTGTCTTTACCATCCTTATCTCCAGCATCAAGAAAACAACGGCTGCCCTTTGCCTAGCTTGAGGAAAGCTTGCCATGTAATATTCCCGCCACTGTCAGCCCACATGAAGTCGCCCTTCAATTGACATTCCACAACGAGTTATCTGACTTGTAAGTGTACAATATAGGGACTAATCGATCCAAGATTCACAAAGTGAGGACGCCCTTGTTACAATTCTTATCCAGCTATGGGGTCTTCATGCGTCCAATACAATTGCACCCCACCCCATGATTGATGAGGTCTGTATGTCGAACTAAATCGGCACAGGGACGGCTTAGGCCAAGGAATTTCAAATTGATCGACGAGTGAGCAAGGACGAACTTTCGCGGATGTAAGTGCGAGATACTATCAAAGGAGTGTCATTTTATCATTGTTCATCGCCGTGATCAAATTTGACCTGCTCAAGCATAGGCATCAGCCAAGCAACTAGATTGCTCGAGCTCGAGCTCAATGCGTAAATGTTCTATAATTAGGATTAAACAACTAACCCCATCTTCGACAATGTCGTCCTCCAAACCAGCGCCCCCATCCAAGATACAAACTACAGACGACCACGTATGGCTCACAGACCTAAGTGATCGTGTGTAGTTGTAAGATGGGAGCGCCCCGCCCTGGTCATTGACTTTCCTGTGAGAAAGCTGGCTTTGAATTGACTGTGTCGCGTGAGATCGTCGGTAGAAGAAGAGTCGGGCTGAGTATGTAGGTCGCCGGCCTCTGGGTATATCCGTCCATAAGTCATGATGTAAAAGTGGTGTTCTGAAGAAGGAGTAATGATGCAAAAAGCCGACCGCCGTGGTATCCACCGCCAGGCCAAAACATTATCAGCGAAGTCATCAATCCTTTCCAGATTGATCTTGCCTCCAAGCTAAGTTCGACTCATTGTGCAACCGCAGCAGCTACCGCCACTCCGACAAAGGCGATGAGCATAGCGAGACTTGAGTCAGACTGGCGACCTGCAGCATTGACGGGCGACGACGTTGAGAACGGAGGGCTCGTCGGGAGGGGGTTCCATGTGTCTCCGCCGCCACCGCCTTGCGTTGCCGACGCAGACGCTGAACCACCACCAGCACCTCCAGACGCCGTGGCTGTTGCGGTCGCAGGCGATGAAGCGAACGAAGAGCCCGAGATGGCTGAGACGAAGGACCCGGATACTGTTGAACCACCAACAGCACCTGCGCCAACACAACCACAAACTTGGTCTTGTCAGCCTTTCTGTCCAACAAAGATTGATTGCCGCATGATGACCAACAAGTCATGATGATAGATACTTATGATCGAATGTTCATGGGTAAAGGAGGAACTTACCGGATGAAGCTCCGTTGATAACAGCCTGGAACGACGCGGCAGGACAGCCCGTCGCAACACAGGGCTCAATGGCGGCGTATAGAGCCGCTTCTTGTCCACATTGACATGAGAAATCGAGGCTATCGCATCCTACAAAAGACGCGCCGTCGAGAAAACAGCTTTGCGCGCAGGAAGGAATAGCTGTGACGGCGACGCTCGCGCAGTTTTCCGCCGCCGCCACGCCGCCCGCCAGCAACACCGCGCCGGCGACGAGACGAGTGAAGTTCTTTTTCATCATGATATATGACACGATATGTTTCTGTACTCTTCTTGACCGAGTACTGTTTGGTTTAAGCGATTGTGAAGTTTGGTCGAATTGGGAGATGGTGAAACGAGGAGTGCTTCAAGGAGTCTTGTTGAACATGGAGATGGAGCGTCCAATTCGTTCCTGGGTGGCCCGGATACATGCAGGAGAAAGGGAGAATGGGGGAACAAGCTTCCTTTGTGGAGGGAGACTGTAGGAAAACCCTGCATGGGGGAGAGGGTGGGAGTGGGAACGGGGACATAGAAAAGGCAACAACCGACAATCACGTTTGTTCTTTTGTCACCTACCTCGCGATAAACACTACCCACGACTGAAAGCCATGAGCTCTAGACCAGCAAGCCTGGGCTTCCTTCAGCTGCACGTTGCAGCTCAGCTAGCTTCCTCGGGAGCTATCTAATTTCCCTCACAGGTTTTCGCTTTCACATGTGGGCTGCTGTGCTCCCAACTGGCGGCTGGTCGGCATGAGGTCATGTCCGTCGAGCCGTAAATGGGAATATCATCACTAATACGACGCAGGTGGAGAGGGATGTCACCCACACCAGCGCACACACACACTCCAGCGCACCAAAAATTTTCACTTAGTAAGGTAAGGTAGTTGTCATTCTTTCATTGCGCTATCTTACTCGGCCGACTTCTCCTCATCCACTTTCCCCCGCAGTCAACCCCGGGGGGTCTGGGGACGGCGATGCCTTCCGATATGGGGCAAGACGCGGGGGAATCGACAGGGATGCCCGAGGGGGGATGGCGCTGATCCTTTGGGCCCTGGCACTACTGCGTACGGCAAAGTCGCAGGTTTTGCTCTTTTAAGCTTTTGACCTGGGGCGCGGACGAATCGTTTGTCTGATGATTGACTTGGCCGTTGGGATGGACGAGCCATTTTGCCCAAGTCTTGGACGCTGGTCCGACCAGGAAGAGGCGCTGGCCTCGCGCTATATCAAGTTGGGAGCTTGGTGACAGGGGTTGGGCTAGACAACACCCTGGCGATGTGATTTGATGTGCAGGTGATAAGCTGGCTGGCTGAATCCACCATGAATGGACCGAGGCTGGCAGAAGACGCACGCGACAAACATTTGATTGTGATTTTGCATCTCGTATTAGGGCGAGATGGTGGCACCGTTCCCCGTAACAGAGATCTTGACGGACGAGGCGGATGAGGATGCTGCTTCGAGGTGGCGAGCCAATCGAGGCTTCTAGACACTTACTTACATCAATTGACCGCCCAGGCCGTTGGAAAAGGTTCGCCGGTGGCTTACTTAAGTTCCTTTCTGCTAGTGCTAGGCCTCACAAACGCAGCCAACTGTTGGTAATATCGCATGAGCCACTAACAGACTGCTAAGACATGCTGCTACCACAACGTCAATCGGTTGGAGGAGATCATTAAGCAAACAGTTCGACATCGTTAGTAGGGATTGAAGGCGCAATTGCGTAAATACTTAAAAGATGGCATAAGCGAGACATTAGATCAGCCCGTGTGCGTGGATTGGACGGAGAGATTGAAACGGCTTGTAATGTCACGTCTTTTCCGTCTTCCAAGATTCTTCTGAAAAGTCTGGATTTCCCGAGAGACTTCGGAAATTAGACGAAGATGGTTGCATGTACCTGGCCTATCATAGGCTAAGGTTGCCTGTACTTTATCATCTCCAGTCTGCAGGCTTCCTAGCCGATGTTACTGTTAGTATTACTATTATAGGGTAGTTGGTTCGAACCGTGGGTTAACGAAGAGATTAATTAAACTATATGAATTTTTACGTAAGTATAAAAAAGAGGTTTTAACTATAGGTTAGGCTAGCTATAATAATTATAAATAGGGCCCCCTAATTAGCCCCTATATAATTAGCTATATACTACGGTTAAATTATATTTTTAATTTAATACTAACTTTTTTTTTTATTAATTCATTTATTACGGTTAGAGGTATAATTTAACCTCGGGCCCGTTTACTAAATCGTCTCTTTTTCCCCCTTTTTTTTATTTTTTTTATATAACTTATTTTTTTATTTATATATTAACTTTTTTATTATTTACGAATTACTTTAACCCCTTATTAAGTACTATTTTTATAAAAGCGTTAATAAAGTTATCGTCCTTATTAATTTAACGTATTTTAAAAATCTCGCGTTTTTTATATAATTATTTAAAAATTATAATATTAATTATAAGCCTCTTTTTTTTTATTATTCTTAATTTAACGAGGTATTTATATAATAAGTAGGAATTAGTATAGATAATTATTAAAATTAGTAAAAAGTTAAGTTAATTAATAATCTTCTTTAGCGTCGTTAAAATTACGTAAATAAGGTTAATACTATTAATTATATTATAAACTTTTAATACTAAAATATTTCTCGTTACTTATTTATTTTTAATTAACGAGTAATAGATTATATTACTATATATAGTAAATTCGCTCTTACTTATACTCTCGTTAGCTAAGATAATAATATATTTTAATTACGAAATAAAGTCGTTATTATTCGTAAATAACTTATTAATAAAAACGTAAAGTTTACTAATAGCGAGGTTAATTAAGTAGTAAACGAGGCCTTAATTAAAATTTATCTATTATTACTTAAGCCGTTTATTAAGTACTTTAATATTTTATTTATTTAGTTTTATAGCTTATACTACTTTAGTATAATTAAAAATTACTTCGAATTAATATATATTTATAATATATATCCCTTACGTAAGCTTAGTTTTATATTATTTTTTAATATTAATTACGTTTAAGTTAATAAAGGTAATTTTTTTACTCTACCCCTTTTACTAAAAGATAATAGTTTCTTTTTTAATTATAAGAATTTTATTATTAAATATTAATAAGTTATTTATTATAAGGACCTCTTTTAGTTTTATTACGAAGCCCGCTTTTTAAAGCTCCTTATTCTCTTTTTTTATAAAGTTAATATTAAATAGGCCTAATATATCGTTAGTTTATATTCTAATAATTTTAAATTATTTACCTTTTTATTTAAAAATTAATAAGTACGGGTCGTACGTAGATATAATTATTAATAATTAATTAATATAAAAATCGTAGTATATAGCTTATTAATAAGTACCCGATTTTATAAGCCTATATAATAGTTTAAGTACTTTAATAATCGTACTTTTTAAGTACTTATTAACTATTTCTTTTAATAAATAGGCTAGGATTTTTCTTATAAGCCCTATAGCCGATTAAATATAGGCCTAAGTAATATTATAGCTCTAAATTTCGTATCCCTTTTTTTATAATAATACTATTAATACTATTATTAATTATTAATTATAGCACTATATTATAAGTAATTAAGTAAGTAGCGTCGCTTTTTTAACGTTACTATACCCCTAAATTATATACTTAGATTTCTCGTACAGTTAGGGTATTCTTTTTTTTTTAATTTTATATATTATTTACGATTTAAATATATAGAGATTTTTATATTTTTCGGGGTTATAGAGGATAAATTAATAGACCCCTTAATTACGTAAAGTATTTATTTTAATAAGATCTAATCCCTTATATAGCTTTTTAATAGTTATAATAATACTTTTTTTATATAATTTAATTACTAACTCGAAATCGGTTTTTTTTTATTATATAAAAAGTATTAATTACCTCGTTATTAATAATAAATTACTACGTTAGGGCTTATTATCGTAGTTTTTTATAACGTTTCGTTAGTAATATTAATACCTTTTTAGTAATTTCCTTTTTTTTATTATTTATTAATACTACTATAACGATTTTATTAAAGATAATTTCCTATACTTTTATAATTAGTTATATAGTTTCCCTTAGCTCTTTTTTTTTTTATAAATTAGAAATTATTTTAATAGGATCTATATAATATAGTCTAATTACGGTAATTAATATTTTAAGTAACTAGTTACGATCTTTTATAACTATATAAAAGTACTTATTAATAAAAATTAATTTATATAACTTAGCTTATTACTAAGTAATTTCGCGCTAAACTTATATATTTAAATTTAGAGGTATATTTATATTAGCCCCTATATTGGGCTTATTGTACGTAGTAATTACTTTATTAACTTACTTTTTTATATTTACTTTACGTAGTACTTATATTACTTTTTTAACTACTTAGGCTCGTTAGTTTATATTTAATAATAGTAGCGAGGCT